GGGAGGGAGAGAAACATCTATTTGAGAGCAAAACATCTATCAGCTGCTTCCTGCATGCCCCCTACTGGGGATCGAGCCCAGAACCCACGCATGTGCCCTGACCTGGAATTGAACCGCAGCCCTTTGGCCAGGACCTGAGTCACTTCATTTCTAGCAGTGTGGCCTTGGCCCCCTTGTATAAGCCCCCTGGTGCCTTCATTTTCTCCCCCTCCTGCTTAGTCCTTTTGGAGAGGGTTGGGGACACAAGGCTTGTGAAGAGCCAAAGTATGAAGGTACATGGATGCTGGGGATGCGATGATAATCCTGCACATTTTGCCTAGAAGCCTCTCAAGGTTGGTTTTTGTAGGGAAGGGAACCTGGGTTTGGATTGCTGGATCTCAGATGTCCAGGGGAAGGAGAGGAAAGCTGAGACCTGTCTGCCTCTGGCAGGCAGGTGGAGAGTTAGGGGGAAGGTGAGGTGATATCTCACGTTCATAGAGGGGTGGATGGATAAAGAAAAAGGTTGGTGTATCATACAATGGGATATTATTCAGCCTTTTAAAAAGGGAAATCCTGCTATTTACGACAACATGGAGGAACCCTGAGGACATTATGCTGAGTGACATACAGTCCTAGAAGGACACATACTGTATGATCCCACTTAGGTGAGGAATCTGAAATAATCGAATTNAAAAAAGGGAAATCCTGCCATTTACGACAACATGGAGGAACCCTGAGAACATGCTGAGTGACATACAGTCCTAGAAGGACACATACTGTATGATCCCACTTAGGTGAGGAATCTGAAATAATCGAATTCATAGAAGTAGAAAGTAGAGCAGTGGTTTCCAGGGGCTCAGGGCAGGGAAATGGGGAGATGCTGGTCATGATGTCTTAATTATACAAGGTGAGAAGTTCTGGAGGTCTTCTGTATGATTGTGCCTACAGGTAGCAATACTGTGCTGTGCACTTAAACGTGTTCAAGGTAAATGTGTTAAGTGTTCCTCCCACAATAAAATAGAATTTAAAACAGGAAGAGGGGGAAGGGGAGGGAGAAATATGCTCCTATAGAAAACAGCACTGACTCAGGGTGACAGGAGGTGTTAGGCCTCTGGATGAAGCCTGATTCTCCCTGACTGCCTCTCTGACTTTTCTGGAAGCTGTCTAATGTCTGTGAGCTCTTCATTCCAGAGATAAAATATTCCTCTTCCTTTACACTTGAACCTTTTGATTTCCTGCAGCAGCCGAGTGGCATCTGGGGCCGGGTGGAAGGCCACAGGGCCACACTGAGCCGATCACCCCATTGTGGGGGCCTCTCAGAGTAGATGATGTGTAGAAATCAAGTCGTGTTAGAACCAATGGCAACGCCTGGTCCTGATATCAGAAATTAACCAGAGGAATCGGCTGTTCTCAGATGGTCAGATGAGCTTCATCCATGGCAGTGTTTCCTGTGTCTGGTTTTGCTGAGGTTCTGCCAGAACATGCTGGTACATGTGAGCTTTTGAAATCAGTGGTTTATGGAGGTTTTCTGCTCAGGGGGCCAAATTGCAATCCTCAGTTAATGAGGAGGGAGAACAGCCCAAGAATAATACTCAGGATGTGTCTGATGAGAGAGGGTGCAGATGGCTGTAAGGACAGGGGCTCTTCTGCTTAGTCTCTGCCGTCTCGTTAACTACTAAAAACCAGGCTCGAGGACAGAATGTAAATTCATGTTCTTGGACAGTGGGCATCATTGAACTGATTTTCTGATTGTTAGAGAGCAAAATTTAAAAAAAAAAAAAGAGGCTTTTGTACCAGAAGACAGCTGGAAGGAAGAAAGCAGATCAGGTTGGCTTCTGTATTAATCAGGATGAGCTATATTGTGCTGCAGTAACAAAGATCCCCAAATCTCAGTGATGGAAAGTGACAGAGGTTTATTTAAAGGGCCAGAGAGAAATATTTTAGGCTTTGCAGGTCATACAGTCTCTATTGCAACTGCTCACTTGTGCTGTAGTAGATGAAAGCAGCCCTAGATAATACATAAATGAACAGGCATAGCCATGTTTCAATAAAAGTTTATTTATAAAAACANGCTTTGCTGCTCACTTGTGCTGTAGTAGATGAAAGCAGCCCTAGATAATACATAAATGAACAGGCATAGCCATGTTTCAATAAAAGTTTATTTATAAAAACAAACGACAGGTGGGAATTGGCCCACAGGCTAGTTTTCCGACCTGGTACAGGAGGAGCCACGTGGAGTGTCCACCTCCCTGGGCACCAGCGCTGCTTCCACTGTTCTGTCCCCACCATTTCCTTCTTTGGGAGCCCTTCAGAGGCACATTTAGGACAACTAACCAAGAAGTCTTCCCTCAGAACTACTCAGGACCAGTGCGTATCTGTAGCAATGGGGTAGATTTATGCAACCAATTAGTGTTCTCTGTGGCTTCAGAGGTCCCCTCGAGGGCTGGCTTCAGGACAGTGGATACTCTTTCAGGAAAGGCCTTGGTAGTGGGCTCTCAGCAGAACAACATGTTTTAGAGATGATACAGGGAGGAGCTGAGTGTGGGGCACCCTCTTTCTGGAAACACCCAAGCCATGCATTGTCTCCCGAATGACTCCTGGACTTTCTCTTGACCCTCAGGTGACTTAATCAGTTTTGCCCCGGGTGCAGACATCAAGAGTGAAAACCCAAACACAAGAGTGTTCCAAGTTTGCCTCTCCCCTGGGATTCATTGTAGAGATCATTCTGCAAGGGGTGCGTTCCCTTCCAAACACCCAGGGATGTCTCTCCTTCGGAACTGGCTGGCTCCATCTGAGTTTTCTTATGGGCACAGATCTATGAACATATCTTAAAGGCACTGGGATGTATATAATATTCTACTGATATTTTCTCCCTTTATAACTTTATGATGGCATTGCCGGCCCTTAAATAAACCATCAGAACACTCTCTGCTGAAATTTAAACAGGGAGCTGGAACAAAATGTCCATAATGCAGTGGCAGAGACAGTCGAGGAAACTTATTGAAAGGGAGGCATGGTTCATAACAAGCACTGAGGCTCTGTCATAGCACTTTAGTGCCTGCAAAAACCTTACTTTCTAGTTAGAACATCGCATGTTTTCAGATGGAGAAACTGAGGTCCAGAGAGAAAAGTCTTCTTGAAGTTAAGCTCGTAGCAAAGATGGGGCCTAAAACCAGGGCGCAGACTTTCAAACCTCTGTGCCCTGTGCTCCAAGGGCCCACCTGCTTAGTGTGATCACCCAGTAAAGTTTCTCTTCTGTGTTTCTCTCCCATCTTCTCCAGGATGGCTACTTCTCTCACCGGCCCAAAGAGAAAGTGCGGACAGACAGCAACAACGAGAACTCGGTCCCCAAAGATTTTGAGAACGTGGACAACAGCAACTTCGCCCCCAGGACTCAGAAGCAGAAGCACCAGCCTGAGTTGGCGAAGAAGCCCCTGAGCAGACAGAAGGAGCTCCTGAAAAGGAAGCTGGAGCAGGAGAAGGCGAAGGGACATTCGTTCCCGGGCAAAGGCCCCAATGAGGTGCTGCCTCCCGGCGAGAGAGCCACAGTGAACAGTAGCCGTGGGAAGGATGCCCCCAGACAGCCCCACCCCAGGAAAAGCGGGGGTAGCTCCCCTGAGATCAAGTATGACCAGCCCCCCAAGTGCGACATTTCTGGCAAGGAGGCCATCTCCGCCCTGTCCCGCTCTAAATCCAAGCACTGCCGCCAGGAGATCGGGGAGACCTACTGCCGCCACAAGCTCGGGCTGCTGATGCCAGAGAAGGTGACTCGGTTCTGCCCACTGGAAGGTAAGCTCCCGCCCCCGAGGCCGGGAGGGGTCTCTCCTCTGCAACTCTCCCTCCTTCCCTGTCCCCTTCTGCTCACATTCTCAGACCTGCGGAGAATGGCCACCCTGGTTTTCAAACCCCAAATCAGGACACAAGATCTGATTTGTTCGGTACTCCCTGAATCCTGAATTCTTGTATGAAAAAGTATTTCAGAATCAAACTGCCTTTTGCTGTAGCTTTAACCAGTTGCCTTTATGGCACCTGAAATACAGTGAAATCAGGGCTCATGGGGAAGCTGCAGAAGGAGAGGTGACTGTACTGATATAGTTTGTTTCCTCTCTCACCAGAATATTGGGATTAGAATTGACACGGATATTATTGTAATTGAATATAATTTGAAAGGTTACTAGTTGGTTGCATTGACTTTGGGGGCTCTGAAAAACAACCGTCCCAATTCCTCCATCTACATTTCTAATCCCAATAT